ATAAAGCAGGTTATCATTATTTGAAGCAGACCTGCAGACTCCAAGGCTCTTCAGGTAGCTGCAGAGAGGCCTGTTGGTCTTCAGGTCCTCCCTGACCATATAGATGCCCTGGCTGAAAGACAGTAGCTCAGGGGGCAGCAAGGCGTTGGTCCGTCCCAGGTAACGCAGAACCCCCACAACATGACGAGCGTTCCTCTCTGAGATCAGCAGCACTGACCTGGTGACATGAGGGCAGCTCCCTGTTTGATCCTGGGTAGAAACCTTAAGATAAATCAAAGACAAATTGAATCCAGGGCATTCATGAAGCCGCTGATGTGGACACTGAAACTGTAGTTACATTACTGAATTCATTTCTGGAAGGTTTTTTTCACCGAATTGATCCTTGGTTATTCTCACCCGTTCTGAGAGGTTTCTGAAGTTGTCAGACATGCTGAAGAGTCGACTGCCAAACAGCTTGGGAGAAGTGGGGAAACCGTAGTGGATGACGCAAGATGCATCTCTGATTCCAAAACACTTCAGACACTCGTTGGTGGTCACTACAATTCAAAGGTCAAAGAACTAAAAGTCAGGGATGGCAGCACTCTTAATGTTCAGGGAGAGCATTCAGTGAACAGTAGGGTTGGGAACTGAAGCTTGATTCCTAATTAGAGCTGAATCACAAATATTTGCTCTATGTCCACACTATGAATCATTTAAATTCAAATGACTCTCAGCCTGAGCTCCAAATAGTTTTACTGATAAATAAAGAGCAGCTATCAAAATCATTCAGTTTACCCAGAATAACATGAGTTCCAGGTCCGATGTTTTTCCTCCACTGCTGGATGACAAAGTCAAACTGGTGTGTTACTCTCTCGTGAGCCTTGAGGCAGAAAGCAGATTTGCTGCTTACGGCCTGGAGATGAGAAAAAAAAAAACAGTCCTAACTTCAGGGAAATGCTGGATGCTATTGTCAGATGCCATCACTGCCCTCCACCTCAAGATTATTCATGTGGATGCGGAATAGTATTGATCAAAACCAAACTTAGCCTTGTCTCCTGTCTTATTGCTACAACTGGTGGTCAAATTTGCCTCTGTGCTCCACATTACAAAGTGTTTATTTTTTAATATGCCAACTTTCTCTCATTGTATAAACTTTACTAATGTGCAAGGCAAACAGTTGTTCTACATAGGATTCATAGCACTGGGATTAACAATGTAAGAACTAAAGCTGTTGTTTCACCTTGAACACATCTTCAACTTCCTGAGCACAGTTGGCTATGATCAGAGTCTTCTGGCCAACATCTGGGCTGAAATCCAACGTCCCCAACAGTTCTGAGATCTTACTGCTCTCTAGAGTCATGAGAATGACCTGTAGGAAGAGAAACATTCATGAAAATCACAAATGTCTACACAATAAATTACAACAACGACTTCACTGCACAGTTTGTGTCATCCTACAGTCTTTTTTTCTTTTTCTTTATTTATTTTAACCATAGAAAATAGCAGCTAACAAAATAAAATGTTCAATAATAATTAGATTGATGCCAATAATAAATGTTAACTTGATTATAACCTCTGTTCAGGTTGCTGCGGTAGGCAATGTCACCAGTGTAACACGTTGTTCGGGGACATACACATTATATAACTTGCCACAGGCCCCACCATTTGTTTCATTTGATTTTACGGACATAATACATTTGTGGTTCATTTTTATGAATTAGTGGTGACACCCACATCACTAATGATCAGTACGTTGTCTGATGTTGCAGTTATATAGAGAAAGTGTCTGTCCCACACAGCAGCAGTCACATCAAAGAGTAACAGAGTCTTATTACATGACATGAGAGTTGACTAACAAGGATGTGAAGGATTTGGTCTGAAAAGACACTTAAAACGTATTTTGAGGGTCTACTGTCACAGCTGAGAGGTCAGAGTGTTTTAGAGCGATAGCAGCGCAGGTCGCATTTTTTCTGTCAGAGCACGAGTGAAGAACTAACAGAGCCCGGTCCCAACCAGACAGGTATTCTGTTTTATGTGTGCACACATTCCGAGCCCGATACAGTTGATGAAAGCTGCACTGAGTTTGTGTTTCCCTGTCCCTGACTCACAAGGTTATTTTCCCAGATAACAGAGAGTGAAAGAGATAGTTAACACCTGTGTTGTCACACATTTCAATAGGGTGGAATTTCCACACTGTGGCATCAATTACCTCCGACAAGATGCTTCTATTTTCATAGCTGTATGTTGTTTCATTGTTTCCTCTGGGGTTTAATCAAAAACTCCTGAACCAATATCCAGGAGATTTTATGGAGGAGTGGGACATGATCCAAGTTGTTAGCCTTGGTGGAGGTATGTGCTTCTAGTTTATCATATTTTGATATTTTAGTGTCAATCTGTGCAAAGTGTGTCATTGCAACAGGATTAAGTTTTTGCTTTAATGAATTACCTGCTGAACGTTACCATAGAGAGCAGCTTCCTCAGGGGCGGTCATAACGATGCAGGGGTAGGGCATGTGATTGGTTAACAATCCCTCCATGTGACTGGTCCATCTCTTCGCCACGGCAATAAGCTGCTGAGGACTTGAGTTCTTCTCCTCGCTGGAAGTCACCTTCTGGAAATGCTGCAAAATGATCTCCATCTAACAGGAGAGTATAAACATTAAAATATGCTCTGAAAAAAAAATCCTTACATTTTGTAGGAGCAGAAAAGGTTATGTGACCATAAACCATAAGAACTATGCCTGATATTTATTTCACAATAATTTTATTGCAGAGAAAAAAAAATCCCCTCCTAATTGCTCATGCTTCTTTTTTCAATGTGTGTGTGTTTGTTTTTATTTCCTACATGTGTACCTAATTAAAAGGAAGCAGATGTTGTCATCTGAACATTTATTTCAAAGAGACAACAGGTCAGAAAAGGAAGCTGTTGTCTTAAATCCACACTGCAAACTGATTTCATGTCATTTCTACATTATAGTTAAAGGTGTGTAAGATTTAGATGAAAGAGATCTATTGGCACAAATTTTATATAAAGTAATCCTCATGATGTTTTCCCTGGTGTGTTTCATCGAAATTGTACTAATTGCTGTTTTCTTTACTCTAGAACAGGCCCTTTATATTTAAATACTTTATATTTAAATCGAGGGGGTCCTCTCTACAGAGGCCGCCATGTTTTTAACAATATTCCGGACTGGGCAAACTAAACACCTTTTGAGTTTTTATGACAACTGAAGTCTACCACAGGTCCTCTTACATGTGTGGAGGATGAGGTGAGGGGTGTTCAGCAGCAAAATGCAATTTCACCACTAGATGTCACTAAATACTACACACTGTACCTTTAAATATTGTATATTCTATTATTATACATTTTATCTAATAATATTGTTAAAACTGTTCAGTGTTTGCAGATATTTTAGAAAAGTAGCTGACAAATATAAACAATGACGTTTACCTCATCTGGAGCAAGAGTGAAGAGCTGGTCGGCCTCGTCCAACAGCAGGTGATAAAGACGCAAGAACATGAAGCAGTGACAAGACAGCAGACGGACGAAACTGAAGGGGGTGGTCACTAACAGCAGACCTGTTCAAAATCAAAAATACAGGAAATCTTGCATTTGGGGATTTTGCATTTATAATCATAGAAATGTTGAGTCATGAACTGATCACCAGCAGATCAGGAGGACTGAGAATGTGCTTTGCTCACAGTTCTTCGGGATCCTGATAGTCTTGGCCTCATCCTTCCCAACACCCATCAGCATGACGACAGGGTGGAGCACATGAGTGATCTTGAAATTCTCCAGCAGGTCATACACCTGCTGAACTTTCTCCCAGCCTGGACACAGCAGCACTGCTATGGGCTGGATACCCATCAACACAGAAAGAACAGATCCAAAACTTAAGGCACCATCCTCGGAAAACAAAAATACTTTAATTCCTTAAAGACCTTAATGATAAGTGTTAATACACTCACCCCCATGCTGGAGGTTAAGGAACTGAAGATGGAGTTGAGCAGGATATGGGTGAGGAGTGGGGCTAGGTAGCTGAGCGGCTGGTCAGCATTAGGGGACACAATGACGGTGTTGCATCCTCGAGACACAGCTGGCCAGCTGTAACAGTCAGCTGGAGACAGAGTGCTGTACTGCTTCTGCCGAAGCACCTAGACACAGGTTGATCAATATGTAAAACTCAGGTAGAGCACAAAAACAAGATCCCAAAGTCTATTTGGCTTTCCTTCATCTCATCATGTGCCTTTATGTCAGTGACAGCTGCAGTTGATCAGGGGAAGGCCACTGATGGATGTGCAGCCAGCCTAACATCTCCCTTTGTCTCTGGTCACCCCTCGCCAAGATGCCCACACTACTTAAAGCCATCAAGGGCAAACTGGCTCCTGAAGCTCCTTCAGTTGCAGTTTGGAGGGAGTTCTTCTGGACTGTGGTGCCAGCTGTGGTTAGTACTGGCTGCCTTTTATCCATTGTCATGTTTGTGAAATACTGCTATAGTGTCAAACAACTACTTTCAGTCAATCATTCAAATTTTATTTGTACAGCCCATATTCACAAATCACAATTTGTCTCAAAGGGCTTTAACAAGGTGTGACATCCTCTGTTCTTAACCCTCAACAAGAGTAAGGAGAAACTACCCAAAAAACTTTTTTAACAGGGAAAAAGAACACAGGGAGAGACACATGTGAGGGATCCCTCTCCCAGGACGGACAGAAGTGCAATAGCTGCCATGTGTAATGGAGAACATCAGAAAAATAAGAGTATTTACAGCATTGGTTAGAGTAAATTGTTTGTAGCATGATGGAAGGTAAATGAATTGAAAAGTTATTGTCAGTAATGGTTGAGTATCTGAGTAGACATATTGTTTATCAAGCAGTCTTGTTGTAATCATAGTCCACGATCAGCTGCCACCACGATCAGGATACACCATTCAAGCAGTGCTTGACCCGTTAAATCTAAAAATAGACATCAATTAAACGATACCCAAGTGGAAGCGATATCTCTCCTTACATCTGATCCATAGAAAGTGCTGTGCCTAATAAAGGATCTGATGTTACCTGTTTGCATTTATTTTGACATTATGCTCTTTTGTGGGGGCAGCAGGTTATTGTCTTGAGAAGCTAGCTTGTGTACTGTTTGCACATACTGGAGCTTGTCAAGCGGAAGGGAAGAGCAACTTGTTCTGTTGTTGTACGTATGTATTAACAGCTTCAAACAAATCTCAGGGAACATTCTTATTTACCCAGCGGAGAGCATCAGTGATGGGGGCATCATCCAAATTGGTGCAGGGCTGAACTGGGAGCGCAGAGTGCACCAGAATCCCACTTGTCCTGGGCTCACTGGGAACAACCTGTGACCAGTCAGGAGACAAGACAAAGAGAAATATAATTTGAGACTGCTATAATGAAGAGCAGTCTCAGCTTGCTCTGGTGCTTTCTGGCATCACATGATACTGTTGTTTGCGGGTTTTACATCAGATTTTGCAGCACAGCTGAAGTAAAGCAACAGCAACACCTGAGGCAAATGACCAGTACATCAACTAAAGTAAATTTTTTATTAAATGCACATCAAGCCTCCACAAAAATCATAAATCACTGTTAGGAAAAAAAAAACTACCCTTCAGGGAAAAAGCAGAAGTGATTGCACACGGTGTATGTCCCACAAAGAATGAGGCTATTTTTTAGGCCATCAATTAATGACTAAATTGTTTTTGATAACAGATGCTTCAGTGACTTTTGTCCCTTGCAAAACATTTAAATATTTTAGTCATCCATTTTTTTTCCATTCAAAGCTTTTTGTTAAGACACATTTACAGGCAGCCAACACGTCTTTTTCATCAATTCAGCCATTTTTGGGTTGCCACCACAACAGGAACCTTCAACCTTCGGGGAACAGATCTGAGCATCGCATTTGATATAGATATTGATTGATTGCAAGCCCAGAAGATGCTTCATATTGTAGTGTCCTTGCATTTAGTTGAGTACCCTTGTGCAGCACTCACGCAGGCAGTGTGCCCTGGACGTCAACCTCTACAATCCTTTTTTTTTTCGTTAGGCAAACTTTAAAAAACTTACAGTGTCATCTCCAGCGTCTGGATCAGGGTTCAGAGGTTCAGGGTTCAACCACTCCAAAAGCCTGTGGCCAAACAACACCAAAAGTATTGAAGAAAAAAACATGACATTTAATGTGATTTTACCCCCAACTTATATTTTACAAGAGATTTAAAGAAAATGTTGCTTTGGAATGACATTGTTGGTTTTTCCACTTTATATTTACTACAGATTTGTGGTCACAAGGCACTAGACATTCATTGCCAGTAACAGTTACTACATGAATTAAAAACTCCTTTCCTGTTATATCTTTGTCTAACTGGTTGAGATCTAACACTGATGGTCATTCATCCTCTGAGCTGCAGCTCACCGTGAACAAGCCCTGGCAGCTTCACTCCTCCTCGTCTTCTCTGTCTCTGCTGGTCCTGACTCTACTGAAATACTTTTGCAGCTGAAAGACAAAGAGACAGTAGAAACCTGATATAGTTATCAACCGTTGATATGGATCAAAAAGCTTGGGTCAGAAACCTTCCTGTACAAATGCTGTTGAAGGAAGGAAGGATGGATGGATAGAAAGAGAAAATGTCAAACTATTTCTTTGATAGAGAAGATCATTTATTTGAACCTATTAATAAGCAAAATAAGATATAAGAATAATGACATTGAGTGAAGGTGACATTGTAACACTTCCTGAGTGCTGTAACCTTGATGCTCAAAATATGAGGACATAGGAACAATGTTTTTTTAAAATAAATTTACTCT